GGAGGAGGATCCGGCGCCGCGCCCGACCCGCGCCCTCGCGGCTGCTCGCGGTCCTGCGAACCGCGGTGCGAGGGGTGCTGGTGGCCGCGTGTCCCCGGCGCCTGGGAGGATTTCGCGGACTTCGGGCGCTCCCGGAAGCCGCGAGCTCGCAGCCAGCTGCGGAGCCGGCCGCGCTCTCCCGCTCGCCTAGCCGGCCTCCGCCTCCCTCCGCGGCCCGCCCCCTCTCCCCCCGCCGAGGTGGAGGTAACGCGGCACCTGCTGCGTAGGTCCTGCGCGCTAGCGCCCCCTCCAGCCCGCTGCGCCGCCAAGTGGCAGACGCAGGGGCGGCGACAGGGACACCCCGGCCGCAGCCGCAGAATCCCTGGCGCCCCTCCGAGCGTGGGGTCTCCACGGAATCAGTGCTGGCGGGGAGAGAGTGGACAGGGTGCTCTGCAGGCAGGGATTGCGCAGCCACGGGGGACCCCAGCCCACCCCGGGCGCGCCCTCCGTGACCTCTGCTCGCTTCAGAGGTGCCCGGCTGGCCGCACCCCGCTCCTGGTCCAGAGCCCGAGGGTGACCGGCCTTCCAGACTGCGCTTCTCCCAGACTCGAATTAGGTTGATTTTTGTGTCCACGGAGCAGGGACAAGGAGCCGCATCTGCCAGTTTCTGGTTGCCAGTCCCTCGCAAAATCGCGTCACCCGCTACCCACCGCAGCACCCACCCCAAATCGCCATTTCTATCCCTGTTCCAAAATGAATGCCAAACAAACACAATGCTGGAAGGCTGTACCGCCAACACGAGCCACACACACACACACACACACACACACACACACACACACACACACCATACAAACGTGAATGGCGACGGCCTTCCCCACCCCTTCCCCAAGGTCTGGAATTCACATTTCTAATTCGGAGTGCACAGGCGCACACCTCTACACCTTACAATAGACGGGTCCCCGCGCTCTGGACTCCAGCACCAGCCTTGCCCGGCCAGCACTATATAAATAACACCGGCCCTGCGGCAAACGGCTTCATTAGCATATTTCCTTCTGCCCTCAGGGCCCGACACTGATTGAGAGTTACGCGGCTGCTTTCACCCACCACGCTTCCCCACATGTTGGAGACATTTCATATTCTGAGAAGTTTATTGATGGAATCGATGGAAGTCTTAAATGGAGCAACCCATTCCCAATCTTATTTGGAACGGGGAACATGCTTTCGCTTTCCAAAGCATAACCTGCAAAGCACACGCATGGAATGCGTTTTAGCATCTCCATTATTTCCTCAGCTGCATGTTGTATAATTTAATGGAAGACATTTTTAAAAAATGCAGCTCAGTGTTCTAGGCAACACGTGCTTACTACTGAAATTCTGGCACCCGAAAAGAACTATTTTTGAAGATGGCCAGAGGGCTGGACCTTGGGAGACCCGGCTGTGAACTTTCCTGTGTGGCTTGGAAGGCGAGATTAGATAACAATAGGCGGAAGGGAAACAAGCTGCGGAAGACACTAGAGGTCTGAGAAACCGGTCTGGAAACAAGCATATTTGATGACATGCTTGAATGACAATGTCATTATAGGATCCATCACTTTGTATAATGAACACACATTAATAAAAAGTTTTTTAAAGACCAATTGAAAGTGATAGTGAGTGCTGCTAGTATAAGTGATGATCCCCCAATTATTATTTTGACTAGTTTGACTTTTCCTTTCTTCTCCTTACTTGTAGCTAATACTTGACAAGTACTGACACTCCCGCCTCAACAGAGTCAGGCTCTATGAGTGTTAGCCATTTATTGTTAACTCCATCTGTTACAACTTACATTTCTTTATCTGAATTGAAATGTGACATTTCCAGTTGTCTCCCCCACCTCAGTGCTGATTCTTTCAAAGAAAGCCCCCTTGGTGCCTAGCTCTAACTCTTTCTCTCAACTCCTCACTAGGACCCTATTTGATGTTTTATAACTCATTGCAAAACACAGCCATTGAGCTAAATAATGGCCTGTCTAATTGGAAGAATGACAATCCTAGGAAATTTTAAGGGGTTGGCATTCAAACTCACAGCCATTCAGTCCTCAGGTCCAGGGCTGAGATGATGTGAGAGTCAAATGCCTGACAAGCCTCTGGGTTTGGATCTTCTGGCTTCCAGGGCTCTTCCATTTCAACTCACAGGGGAAAATTGCAAAACCACAGAAGAGTTTAGAAAGATGCTTGTTAAAACGGAGGTGACAAATACTTGCTTGACAAGTAGAGGTCATTTCACTGTATATGTGTATTTCAAAACATCCTGTACACTTTAAATATGCACAATAAATATAAAATTTAAAACTTTTAAACTTTAAGAGAGAATAAAGTTTCATTTGCCCTTTTAAGAGTAGCTATTTGTTAAGGTATGCTTTCAGGTGGGTGCAGACTAACTATGAAGAAGCTTCGTTTCCAAGCTTTTAGTACCTATTCCGAATGATTTTGGAGGCACACTGGAAAAGGGTACCCTCTAAAGTGGAAGGCGGAAGGAGTCAATATCAAATGTTGGAATGCCACAGCAGCGACAGCAGCAGGAACAGCATGGCTAACCCAGGCATTGTAATTAAGTTACTGATTAGATTAGGGGTTTCCCTAAATCCCTCTTGGATCAACATTTCTCCCAAATCTAGTCAAGAAGATTAAAATGTAACTAATTTAAAATAAACTGGTCTTCTATTTATTAAAATACACCACCAATGGCCTCTTGAAGAGACCTGGAACAAAAGGGCATAAAGCAGAATTTGACACTTGAGGGTAGAGGACAGCTTCATGACCAGGATTTTGAAGCCCAGAAAACACCTGCTAGCAAATCCCCTTGTCTCATTTTCCACATGGTAGATACAGTTTACCTGTTGTTTGTCTTGCTTACTTACTGATTTCATTACTTTCCACCTCTAGAATGTAAGCACCTTTGGTCCCTTGCTCCCAAGATGTATTCCTGGTAGCTAAAACAATGTCTGGCACGTATGAGACTCTCAGTATATTGTTGTTGAATAACTGAGTGTGCTATAATCACCTGATGATGCTATCTATTAAGATCTGCAACTGCCTTTACTTTGATTCTTTATGACTTAAAGAAGCAAGCTTTTCATATTTGTCCAATCTCTCAAGCATAGTACTCAGCTCAGCCAACAAGAGAGTTCAAATGAACTTGACAATTGCATTTCTTGTTGTAAGCCATTGTGGTTAATGCGTTAGCTCCCAGTATGAAGTTTTTGCTGGCAGTTATTGGCTTGCAGATGGTGGCTTGAAGGTAAGCTGTAGCTCACAAATGTCATGCAATGATTAAAATAAAACATCAACAACAACAAACACAAAAACCACAATATCATTGCCAACATTTCAAAGCTGAAAGATGGAACAATTTTTTAAAAATATGGCTCAGCGGTTAAGAACACTGTTCTTGCAGAAGACCCGGGTTCAATTCCCAGCACCCACATGGCAGCTAACAACTGTCCATAACTCTAGTTCCAGGGGATCTGACAGCGTCTTCTGTCCGCCATGTGCATTGCATGACATGGCTGTGCTTACCTACAGGAAGGCACTACACTCATACACATAAAACAATAAATAAAATACTAAAATATGTAGATATAGATATATTTGGGAATTCTCCTGACACAGCAGAAGGCTGGCCTCTTCCTTGCCCCATATTTTCAAGGCTGTGTTCCCTTGGAATACAGTGAGGACGTAGGTGCTTCTCAGCTTGTCTTCATCCCTGCCTGGAACACACCTCCCAAGCACATCATCTGTCCCCTGGAAACATCCAAGTTTCATGATTTTAATTTATGTCAGCATCCTGAGTTCACTGATAGCCATAAAGCTGAGTCATCCTCTTTTCCTTTGAAAGTCTGTTAAGTAATCTACTACTTTGTAATTCCCTAAAATTGAGAAAATGAAGAAAATAAGTGCAAGATATAACCTAATCGCCAATACATTTAGACATTTTTTTCTTGGATATAGCAGGAGAACGAAAAGGCTTTTTGGCTGATCTCTAGAGTTGATGGACACCTAATTTAAAAGTTCATTTCAAGGAATTGGTGTCAGAGTTAATTAACTTCAATCAGAAGCCACATCATACTAAATGGATTTCACATTGTTTCTAGTTGCGAATTTGTTTTCTTTATATCTGAATTAGAGATGGGTAGATAATATACTGGGCCGTCTCATAGCAGTCTTTTGTGACAGTTTGATTTCTTCCCTAGGAATAATTACTTGAAAGATGGGTTACCTTGCTTTCCGAGAGTGTTCCCCCACTGTGATGTGAACTGACTCCCAGCTATAGCTGTGTATACAGTATTTGAACGTTATTTTTATCATTCTTTGGCTTTTGGAATGTCAACGCTGACTCTTTAACAAGGAATTTGACATTTACAAAACCTATCAAATGAAAATGAAAAAGCTACTTTCATTCTGTGGCAGAAGTAATAAAAATGTCACACAATCTATCCTAAGGAAAGCTGCAGGTTCTATCTTGAGGAGAAACTACTTGCTCATCTACTGTAAAGCAAATTCATCCTACCTGATCAGAAGGTACAAGAAAATGAAGACTTCCATTCAAAAAGCTACTCCACTGCAAGTGGGGTCGGCAGGGGCCCAACTACTTTCAAAAGCTTGGTTAGAACTTAATTTCACATTCTTTTATTGAGTTAAAATTCATGTAACAAATGTATGTAGAATTTGATGTTGGTGTTTGCCAGTAAAAATCAGATGTTACGAGAGAGAGAGAGAGAGAGAGAGAGAGAGAGAGAGAGAGAGAGAATGTGAGATGGAATGCCAAACCAGGACTTAGAGGTAATTGTTTTTTATTTTATTTTATTTTTTGCTGTTGTTTGCTTTTTGAAGCAGGGTCTCACTATGTAGCCCTGGCTGGCCTGGAACTCACTATCCTCCTGCCTCTGCCTTTCTAGTAGGACTAAAGGCATGTGCTACCATGCCCGGCATTATAGGTAAACTTTAAATGCATTGTTCTAACACCAGAACAGCCAGCTACGTTTTGTTTGATGAGAATCACTATTTAAGTTAGTTATAAGTATGGACACTGCACTTTTGGTTATGGATGAGAGATGTGCAGATAGCTTTTTCGAAGCAGGGTTTGGGGAAGAACAATTACGTAATGGAGATTTAGTGGAAGGAACTTTCCCTTCCTGAGAGATGTAAAGAATGCCCTTTAAATAACCTTTTGTCCCTATCTTTTCCTATTCAAATAGAGATGAAGAAAACCCCACAGCAGATGGTCTGGACTTCTCCTGGCCAAATCTAAAGCTAGTAAATGAATTTCTTTCAGTGACTAGCACCTACAGAAAGAAAAAGTAATTAATATCCTGAATATTCCTTCTGAGGCTACATGCTTTACCTGACACTGGTATGTCTATGAGGGTTTATGGGTTTTTTTTTTTTAAAGATAAACTTCATGTATTTGTTTATTCACTTTTAGAGACAAAATCTATGTAGCCCAGGCTAGAGCAAACATACAATCCTCCTTCTGTCTCTGCCTCCTGAGTAGTTGTAGCTACAGGAACATAATCCTCTTAGTAACTTTACCCACTTACATTTATAGTTTTTGCTACAGAAATAATAACATTTAATTTAAAGCTTTGTAAGCTGGTCCACAGTTTAGACTGAAAACAACAGGCATGACTCTAAGCAAAAACCAATTTTTCTTTGAGGTGCTGGGGATGGAATCCAGGGCCTGGAGCATGCTAGGCAAGCTAGGCACAACCCCAGCCTTTGACAAATGTTTTGCCCTCAATAGTGCTGAATATGATTATGATTTAGATAATCATAAAGGACTTTTTCATACTTGAAAAATTGGCCATGTATGCCCAGTAAATAACCCCCTTAAAGCTCATGTGTTGAAGGTGTGGTCCCCAGGGCATCAGTGGTCAGAGGCAGGTCCCTAGGAGGTGATTGGGTCATGGATTAATTAGTTTATGAATTTTTAACTTAATGGATTATTGGGATGTGATAAAAGGTTTAGGAACTGGGTCGCAGTTGGAAGAAGAAAGTTACTGAGTGTGTTATTGAAGAGTATATTTTGTTCCTGGGACTTCTTCCCCACTCCCCTTCCTGACAAATGTGTGTCTGTGCCACACATTTCCATTATGATTTGCTACTTCATTACAGGCCCAGAAACAAAAGAATCCAGTGAGCATGGACCAAAACCCTCCGAAGTGTTAAGCCAAAATGAAACTTTCCTCTTTTAAGCTGACTTCTCTCAGCTGCTTGGAAACAGCAGTGGAAATCAGAGTAGCACACAATGTATGCGTGTTGTTTTCCATCCAAACTGTAGGCCTTCTTAGAGGGCTTTTAATTAAATTTATTGTTTCTAAAGCAAAAGCTATAAATATAAATGGGTAATGTCACTTAGCTGTTTTCATTGTTAATGAATTTTTTTCAAAACATGAAATTAAATTTTTGGATTTTGAACTTTAAGGAAAACACTTTTTTCTGTTGACAAGGCAATTTGCCACCATAATATCAACAAAGTACAACAAGCATTTGGAGCTTAGTGCCTAACACCATTCTCAATAGAGGGAGCCAGGGCTCCTTGGAACAATGGTTGATTCCAGTAGGAAATGCACAAGATGATCCTGGCACATCAAGGAGTGCCAGAAAATAAGGACGTGTGCATCTACTCCTCACACCACCACATACAGATAATCACAGGAGTAAATCAAAGAGACGTGGAACCAACTGAAAGAGCTAATAAAGGAATGAACTCTGGGACAACTTGAGCAATAAATACTATTGGACAATAACCCAGAGCATAGTATAGCTATGACTCTATACTGGTAAAAATAAGTGATCAAATAAATAAAAATAATAAATAAATTACCAACAGTGGACTACAGAGAATCTCATGCATCCATGTTTATTGCTGTACTTGTCACAGTGGCTAGGAAATGGAGCTAGCCTAGATGTCTATCTACAAATGAATGGATATACATAATCCATATACACAATGGAATTTTATTCAGTCTTTAAGAAAAATGAAGTCATGATATTTCCAGGAAAATGGATAGAATTGGAGCTTATTAAGGTAAATGAAATAAACCAGGCTCAAAAAGACAAATGTCACGTTTTCTCTCCTAGCCAGAATCTAGTTTTAAATTTATTATGTGTAAGGGTTGGGG